TCAAACTTCATCTTCAATATACAAACACACTATGTGAGAAAATTTAAACTATCGCCTTTTTATTTATTTACAAAATATTTCAACAAATTCAAGCGTGGCACTCAGCTTTGTCGTATTTAAATGCGGTGCGCTATGAATGTGAGAACCCGCATTATCCCGAATGACTCCGATTATAGCAAGGCTGGTTCAAAGCTCATTTATATACAACATATCTGAGAGTCATTTTGTTTTCAAAACAGCGTATATTTACTTTCATTGATATATATAATCAACTATATGTTTTAGGATTAACAAATACATATTTCATTTGTATTTTTAGGTGTTTGGAGCTCAACTCCTGAGTGTTTGTGACTTTAACGTTAAAAAAAAGACATAAATGATATCGGGCCCACCGCACTGCGTTGCAATCGAATCCACCACCGTCTGCGTTGTAATCAATTTTTGTCAATTCTTTTATTAAAATGGTAATATCAATTTCAAAAAGTTCCAAGATATGGTTGTTTTGTGTAATTATCATACATACGATGCGATGCCAGTGTATCTAGGGGTAGTTTTGAGTACATATGTAGTGTTATAATCAAAATTAGGCAAAAGTGGCGTCCCCTCGTCAAACTGTACAGAAGTGTTTGCATAACTGGTCATGATTTGCACCCCATGCGTGTAATAAGTTGGAAGAGTACATATGTGGGCTCCAGTCTCACTAGGTGTTATCAGTAGAACATAAAAACATAACGTACAAATAAGTCACAAACTTACCGACACCAGCAAAAATCTATCCAACAGCCATGTTTTTCCACCGCTTCTGCGACGAAATCTCCATCGCCGCACCGGTAGACCCACCGCTTCTGCGAAAGCTATGGCCAGTGTGGTATGTCCAGCCTGGCTTGGTTCTATTTTGGTTAATTTATTTCGGTCCCGGCAGTGTTAAAGGTGCAGTGTTGTTTACAGTTGTTATATTTACACGATTTCTTTTAGATCAAACGTGTCGGACTAGTAATCTAAGAATTGCTTGCTGTATGGGTTCAAATCCCGTTATGGGCAAGTCCTGGTTTCCTTGAGACTCATTGCATAGTACCCACTCCGTATTACCGGTGCCAGTGATAACAATTTGCAGCAGTAATGACAACATTCCAAAAACATTTACTGATTTCTACAATTACAAGGGCAGATAAGTCGTAAATGGGCTCGGTGACCCCCAGTTTTTGCTGAAAATGCTTTGCTTTTAATCTAATCATTTTAGGATATAAATGTTATCTGGGACAAATATCGCAAGTCCCATTAAAGAAGACAAGTTCTGTTCAATATCATTAAGATACTATAATTATACTATACAATCGTGGATTAAAGCTTTTCTGGGAAACCGCAGTCAGCAAGTCGTTGTAGATTGGGCAGCATCCACCATGGCTCCAGTGATCTCTCGTGTACTCCAGAGTCAGTACTTGGATCTCTTCTATTTTTGCTTTATATAAATGACCTACCTGCATCTATAAAGTCAAATATTCGCCTTTTTGCAGATGACTGCGTTATTTACAGATCTGTTCAGGCTTTGGCTGATACAGTACAGCTTCAGGAAGATCTATAGACAGTTTCTCATTATAATTATGTGTAGGAGCAGAAATGGAAGATGACTTTGAACACTAGTAAATGTCATACCAGCAATATAACGAGAAATCGCAAATTGATAAAGTTGTTCATACACTTCACGATTAGTCTCTGTCAGTTGTAACCTAATTAGTTGTATAAATAGTATCAATATTATAAAGTCAGCCAGAGCTTAGACTTCTTAAAACGTAGCATACATTCTTCCAAACCTTGTACTAAAGCAGCAGCTATACTTATACCCCCAACGCATGGACATATACATCATAAATGAAAGAAGTTTATGTGTTTTGACAAAGGATGTCGATACTGTACCGTATGGACTCGGCCCGGTGAATTTTCGTACTATTAGTTCTATAGTAAATCAGTCAAATTTGAGGTTTAATTCTGGATTCCAATGTTCTTGATGAATTATGTACTGTCTTCAACTTTAAACATTAACACTATCTAAGTCAAATGATGCCCAAAATATAATAGGTTAGCCATCTACTTTTTTCAGAAATCTTCATTCTGTTGTAACACTGTTTAAATTCACCACTTTAAAAACTCCTGACAGCTGGTGGGTAGTACATCTTTAATCCTTCCACCAACAAATGAGTTCCTGGAGAATACACAAAAAACAACTTTTAAAGTCATCATATAACACACAAAAACTACACACATGCAATAAATACACTTTAATTATGAACAATCTAACTAGAGATGACTTAAATTGGGCCATTTCATAATTTTAAAGAACTACTTTCTAGACTACAATGGGCTGGGTCTAATTCCGTACCGGGTTGAGACCTAAATGAATCCAAAATTTAAGTTAAGCCAAACTTTATACTCATTTCCTAGTAATTTAGTGTTATACAAATACAGTCATATAGGTTTGACATGTCTCTAACAAATTACATTAATGCGGTACAATTTCTTAAATATGAACCTTCATGCGAAAAGTCAGGCTCGGCCAATAGAATTTTACGCAAAAATTTATATTACAAATTCTGTCATATCTTTTGATTCTGTAAATGGATTTTCTTTGAATAAAGTTTAATGTTACCGGCTAATGTCATACAGTTACTTCTATGAAAGAATATGACCTTATTGCTTAAAAATTGTAATAGAAACTCAATTTCTTTAAATGAGAGCATGAAATTTTGGGTTAAAATACAAGTAATCACAATTAAGTGTGCTTTTTTCAAATTTTTTTCCTTCAATATTGTAATAAAACTTACTGATTATGATTTTTACCTATATACCATGGTAAATAAAGTAAAGAACCAACATACACACCCTACATTGTTTGCTTAAGATATCAATAAAGACAAACAGAGGTAATCTTAAGGTTAGCAAAGAGGTTACCATATCACCATGGGCTATGTCTTCTGACAAAGTAAGATTAGCCAACTCTCACACAAATAAGGCTTTAAAAAGATGACACATACTGTCCCCCACTTTAAATCATTGAGAAGTCTTAATATAGTCAGAATTAGAGAAATTTTCTCCTGAAATACATCAAAATAACTATCAAATATTACCCGAGCATTGGGAGGCGCTACCGCCAATAGCTGAAGTTTCAAACTAGACATAAGTTATTACCTTCTCAATGTGTCCTGACAAAGCTGCTGCCAAACAGAGCTGAAGGAGTCCTTCTATAGATCTTTACCAGGATAAGGTAAGGTCATATACTCAAACCCAGGCTTTGGTAACTGCATGGTCTGAAAAAATATGCAACACTAGTACATGCTTAAGACAATTATAAGGGGCATTTATGCTGTAATTCTAATAACTGAAAAAGAAAGAAAATAATGTCTTAATTAATAAATGGCTAGATTTGCTAATTCACACAGGAGAGCTTATATAAATATTGTGTTCTGAAAAATGCATGCCTGCATGAAAATAGCAGTTTAGACATTATAAACCTAACCTAATTTAACTGCTGTAGCAGCTACAGCAACAACAACAACAACAACAATTATATCAACTGTGTTATTCTAAATGAGCCAATTATCCATAAAATACACTGTTTAATGACTAGAAAATCTTTTATGTGTATATATTACTAGCAAATACATTCTGCAACACAGCAAAACATCAAGTTTCACTACACTGAAAATGCCTATATTTCCAAAATATAAATCACATTTGTCCTGTTCAATTGTTAGTTCTTCTTCATTAAAATACAGGACAATAGTGAATATTTGCATACTGATTACTACAGCATCAATCCTTTGCTGAAACATCAAAACATATAATGTGTGGTCCATATGAGCAATAGGCTACTATGGTGCTTGTTCGAATCCCATGGCCGGTGAATCTTGGGCCCCTTAGAGAGCTCTGGAATGGGCTTGCCAATCACTTTTTTTACCAATGTAACCAATCTGAAACCACACACTCCCCAATTCCTTCAATGCATAATTTATCCATAATTTAAGATGCATTTCTCTAAAAATTATCATTTTCTATATAAATCTTATAAAAATAAGCTAGATTTATAGCATATTGCTTAACACAGGTTGCAAAAATAAAATTTATCAGTTTATAAACTGCTTTTTACAAAATTTAAATTTCATTTTTTAATTCTAAATTTATTTTTACAGTTTTAATTAAATAAAATGTGGTTAATCTTTCATGCAAAAGCTCAGTACCCTTCTCCCTGCTTACTGACACAGTAGCAGACATCTACATTTGAAGGGGAGATAACAACAACAACATATGTCCCAATTTAAAATGTCAAATTTTAAAATTTGAAATAAAATTTAAAATTTTCAAACCTGTCAGTAATCCTTTATTTTCCTGAATTCTATTCATAAACACAACACTGATGCAAAGTTTCATCCATATCCATCAACCAGTTCCCATTTTTGACATTTCTTATCTTGGACTCGGCCCGGTGAATTTTCGTACTATTAGTTCTATAGTAAATCAGTCAAATTTGAGGTTTAATTCTGGATTCCAATGTTCTTGATGAATTATATACTGTCTTCAACTTTAAACATTAACACTATCTAAGTCAAATGATGCCCAAAATATAATAGGTTAGCCATCTACTTTTTTCAGAAATCTTCATTCTGTTGTAACACTGTTTAAATTCACCACTTTAAAAACTCCTGACAGCTGGTGGGTAGTACATCTTTAATCCTTCCACCAACAAATGAGTTCCTGGAGAATACACAAAAAACAACTTTTAAAGTCATCATATAACACACAAAAACTACACACATGCAATAAATACACTTTAATTATGAACAATCTAACTAGAGATGACTTAAATTGGGCCATTTCATAATTTTAAAGAACTACTTTCTAGACTACAATGGGCTGGGTCTAATTCCGTACCGGGTTGAGACCGTATTGACAACGTTGACAGTGCATGTCGGTATTGTACGGTATTGGTATAGGTTTTATCGAAATTCATTAAAACCGGATATAGGAAAATTGTATTCTGGGAGTTAAAACACAACAGAAATTTCAGAAAAAAAATTTTGCTGACATAATTTATTGATAAAGAAATACATTTTCTGAATAGACATGAGGTTCAAGAATAAGCACTAACTTTCTTTGTAAAAGAAAGCTCTACACGAGTGTCCAAACTTGATTTAACCTTTTAGCCTTTGAAAATATATGAAACATCGCTTTCGATTTTGATTTCAGCTGATTTTGGTCACAATTTGCGACGTTTATTGAAAGAAAAATGAGCCGAAATCAAGCCAGAAAAGATACCAAAATGAGGATTAGGGCATTCCCTGTAAGCATATTTGATAGGGCTGCAACGATACACTAAATGTTCGATTCGATTTCGATTTTAGACACTCCGATTCGATTTTTTTCGATTCGATACATTTCTGATTACTAATTTATCTTTGGTGTATAATTCTGCTTGTCTGCTCCAAAAGTGAGTGGCCTTCAACCTAGTGCTTTGCTTTTCTGTTGTAATATAACTATTATATAAACTTATTTGACTTAATAATTGTGTTTATGAGAATAAAAAGCTCTTGTCTATTTAGAAATAATTTTAATCAGGCAAATAATCATTCATCTCAGTTACATGACTATCACAGATACCTTCTGCTGACTAGGAATTTAACAAAGTATGTAAATTTTAATGTAAATAATAATGAACATTGAACAAAGTTTCACAAGGTTGTCAGAACTGATAATTCAGATATTCTGTTTATAATTCCCATAATATGTAAAATGAATAATCAATCCTAATGTCAGTGTTGTCACACAATACTTCTTAGTCTAGTAAACAATACAGAAAAAATGAAATTCATGAAATTATCACTTTTTTTCACACTTGACTAAGGAAATAATAATCAATCCCAATACTTACTGAAGTACTAATCAAACTTATTTTGGGAAGGCCAGGACACGGATAAAGTTAACCAAACAAGTCCACATCGTGTTTTCGTTTCATTGTTGCATTAAATTAGACGTACTGTCGGACTTTGGATATGACACGTCCGTAAAGCATATTTTGCAAGTAGCTTAATCCGTGTCCTGGCCTTCCCGAAACCCAAAGTGTTCGCAAACCTTTGATTTTAATTTTTTAGGAGGATTTTTTAATTTTATTTCATCAATATTTATGTTGATAGCCATTTTGATTTGTTTGCCGAAAATAAAACATTACGCGCCCACTGATTGGATGACTGAGTTTTAACTGGCCAATCGTATGCAACGTGATAAAGCGCGAAGGGAAAGGCTAAAACTCTCACTTTTTTCCATGTTTATTTTTGGGTGGGGAATCGAATCGAAAATGTTGTAGTTGGTATCGGGAATCGAATCGGCGCTCATAAAACCGGTTTTCGATGCATCGAAAGGTATCGTTGCACCTCTAATATTTGATTGATTGACATTTATTGCTGTTATATGTAAAATGTTATCTGTGTCTCAAAAGCATGCATATCCAGTGTTTCACATTAAAAGAAATCTTAGATTGCATTATTTTTGGCCGACAGCAAATTTAGAGAATATTAATTAATCATTTTTTTCTGCTAACATCTGATTTCTGCCAATTCTTCAAAAGTTCTTGCAAGGAAATAATTGCATGTCAAAGTTTCAGGCCTCAATGAATTTTTCGGGAGTCACTCGCCCTGCCCCTTCAAATTTACTCACCCTCCATAAATACACCCATAAACACTTTTCATATGAACTACGTGAATAACCCAGGGCTCATCCTGGGGGGAAATTTAGGGAGAAGTGACTTCCTCGCGAAAATTAGGGAGAAGGAAAACAACCCAATGTGTATGCATTAACATGCTTGGCTATACATCCTTTAATTATAATATAAACACAATTAACATCACTTATAATATTTCTCCAGTTTAATATGAAAAAGGCAAAGCCTCAAAGCGAGCTCGATGTACTTTTTACGAGAAATAGTATGAAATAATCGCTCATGCAGTAACGAGTGCGTGTGACGTCACACGTACTGTGTTAAATATGGCTCCGCCCCTGTCGTGAAATGAATAACGAGTTTTGAAAACATTTATTTTATTTCACTCTATAATTTTTCAAGCGAAATAAAGATTATTTAAAGTGAAATAAATGTAAAACTTAAAACGTTTGCGACATTAAAATAGCGTACTTGATTTGTTTGTTTTGCACGTGCTGTTAGGCGCTATATACATGACGTCACGTAAACAATACTTTAAACGTCTGTACAGCGTTAGCGACTGAATAAAAGATATTGGTGTTCGGATTCATTTTCTTAGTTAGACCATTTTCTTTCATTCTAAATAGTTTTCACAACAAAATTCGACAAAAAATTGTTTTTATTTATCAGATTTCAAACAAAATGGCGCCTTCGACTTTCATTTTTTATACACAGCTTCCGTTATTCTGGTTCCCTGTCCAATTATGGTTCCCATAGACGTGCACGGGTGACAAGTCTACACATCCGTTTTCAGTCAGAATTCCTCAGTTTTTATCGTTATCTTTAAATTCGAAAGGTTGCGATGTGTCCAATTCGGTACTTTGGACGAAAGTTTTCAAAACCATCAATTAGCAGGTACTCGCGTTACCGTAAAGCTCGCTTTGCGAGCAGGCCCTTCGGGCCAGCTCGTCGAGCTCGCTATTAATTAATAGTAGATTAATTAATAGTAGATCTGGCAATGGCATCTAAATGTTTTTGAGCTGCAAATATGAATAAAAACAAATTATTTTTGATATCTATTTATCAGCTATTTATTAGCTTTCTCTAAATATGTGTTTATATATTTTCATGTAGATTTGTTGATAATAATATGTTAGAAAAGATATGATGATAAAAATAACTTTATATTTTTACTTTCCTCACTTTAAATAATTAATAAATCTGTTCTGTTCTGTGCTGATTACAGAATTTTCTTTCAATATCCTTTACGTTGTAATGTCAGATTTATATGCATATAATTATGCTTATCGCATGGCTGTGAGCTTTTCCTTTGTTCTTTCCAACCCATTATACTCAGTACACTTCAATGAGCATTTCAAAACTGTATTGATATATAACAGTACAGTTTTTTCATTGATTCATATAGGAAAAAAAACTGTACTGTTATATATCGGTCTAGTTTTTTTCGCACCTTGTATATATCAATACAGTTTTTTCATAGAGGCTCCAATGGGGCAGTGGTAACGACCATTCCCAGTAGCAAAAAAACCCATAAGATAATAAAAAATGAAATCAATAAAATAAAATAAATATATAAATACAATGAAAAATATAAACAAAGATAATTAATGAAATGAAAGAAGCCCTTTAATCTTAAATCAATCTTGGTAACAGTATACAATCCGCCTCTTATATTAGATGTCTTTTGTATATTTTTTTTTGCGGCAGCGAAAACAACTTGAAAAACTGCCTTATGATAAATAACTGTAATGTAGCTAACGATTAATTTATTTATTTGTTTCTATACAAAAAAGAAAACATTATGCCATTGCGATAAAACAGTTATAGTATATGAAACTCGTTAGTTACGGGGGTATAACACTGGCTGGGGCGACATCTCGGGATGTTTCTGCAAAAAAATGTCTCGGCCTAACGGCCTCGCCATTTTTTAGCAGAAACACCCTTGATGTCGCCCCAGCCAGTGTTATACCCTCGTAACTAACTCGTTTCATATACTATAACTATTACTTATAAAACAATTTTCAAACATCGAAGAATATGTAAAATATGTACTGCAAACAATTGTGCACATTATATTTGATCACTAAAATTATATACATTCATTACTTATTGAAAAATTTGACTGAGAAATTATAGAAAATAAATTTCTAATTACCTCCCTTTATTTTCATGAAATGTTAAATTCGGTAATATCTTTATAAATAATGCTTTTTGAAATTTACAATATTGATAAATCTCACTGTCTACATCATACCAATCGCAAGATTTTTGCGAATTGGCTCTCTTAAATTTTCGCGTAGGTGTAACTATCAGAATCAGTAACTTTCTTACTGCTAGGTTTTGGAAATTTCGCCCTGTATCCATGACGTGAGCGACATAATTTTACAGTAAAAATTGATGTTAACGGACTGAAATGATTCAAAACTATGATCCGGTCGCTGATCATTAATGAAATTGATTATTTTTAATTGACTAACAGTTTTGTGATAGCCGTGAAAAATCCATTGCACATCGCCTTTACTCGGGTTAAAACCCCACCATCGAAGTGCATCGTGTAAATCAATTAGGGAAGATTGCACGTGTTTAGATAATCGGGGAAAAAACAATCTATAATTATCGCCAAATCCCGTATTAAACTCGCAAAACTGTCACACAAATATACCGTTTCGGGCCGATGCTCTCGTTATTTACTGTTTAGAGTAGGCGGTCTATCGCTTTGCTTACAGGTAGAAGGGTAGTATAAAGCGACGCTCTGATTGGATAATGATAATTAGCAGTCGTCATATGGGCGGATACAATCTCTGCTCTTTACATCGCCAATTAATTACTATTTGGGAATTAAGATTTTATCGGCGATGTTGACTTCTCTTTGATCAATCGGGAGAGCGAAATTGGAATATACTCGGCGAAGTTTTCGCCTGAATCGCCCTTCCGGATGAGCCCTGTAACCGAGGTATATCGAGTGAAAAAATACGAGTTGTTTCCCTTATCTTCGAGTAAAATTGATATCTCTTACGCTAAAACAATACAAATTAAGCCATTTTTAAACCGCTAGTTTGTGGTGATTAAATGTCTGATTTTAAAAATTATTACATCAATGGAAAGCTTGGGATCTTAGCTTTGCCACAGTATATAATTTTACATATCTTTTGTCACCAAAGTATTTAAATTAACTGTTAAACCTACCATATGTCAGACCATTTTACATACGATTTATACAGCGAGATACGCAACCGGTTATCTTTACTCGAAAACCTACTGATAAGAATAGCCTGTCGTCTGCTAGTTGGGGAAAGTGTTTATTGGTGTATTGTACTCACCTGCATTTTGACATACAAAATTTGTAAAAATCAAACATAAGATTCAAATTGACTACTTACCGGTCTTAAATTGGCTTTATAATCTTTTATTCTTGTGCATATATTACTTATCAGGCTATATCAGTAAATTGGCTTTATTCATGTACATACTGAATTTGTAATTTACAGACTTCCGGAAATTTAAAACATTTAACATCGGACATTTGGTCCGACATACCATGAAAATCTGTCAGACAGAAATGAAATCTGTCAGACCAAAAGATATTAAACAAAATTAAAGAAAAACTGGTGTTTGTATTTCTAAGACACTTTTTGTTTCTAAGACTCTTTTTGGTTCTAATTTTTTTTTGCACAGTCGGTACAGCGCATTTTCACCTCCTCCGTGTCATACACCAATCATTCATAGTCTTGCTTCCATTTGTCATTAAATTTTCTCTAGGGTCTTTTCTCTTCATCTTTTTACTTCTGTTTTGTTCTCTCCACTGATGTAGATTTTCGTTTCTTCCCAAGTTTGGCACATTTAGCGAAGCAATTTTTTATATGAGCGACTTCGATAACAGCTGAAAGACCGACCAATCCGGAATAAAGAATTTTCGGACCTAATCAAAATTTATCAGACATGTCCGTTGGACTGACATATTTCTGGAATACTTCTCAATGTTTTAATATATAATCTTCAACATAACCTGAATACTTATTTCATTAAATTCCATTCAGCTAAAATATTGACCTCACAGCTAAGTATAAAACATTGTCAAATGCTGCTATTGTTATGGAATTGATTCATCATAAGCATTCGTTAAAATTTTATACCTAGTCAATAGGTCAATTTCCAGTTTTCTTTGACAGGATTACGATTAAATTGGCGTCTGCAGTTTTTTACTGATAAGTTTTATTTACATTAAATGTTTAGAGAAACATCATTTGTTTCAGGAGATCAATTTTTTTCTCGCCCTACGCAAACTTTCACTTGCATATATATACAAGCGGGTGAGTGTATTTGTCAAGGTCTGTCATAGTGTAAATTAGATAGTGACTGGGATGTGAAATAACAAGTCAAGCTACTACCAACAAGATAATTGCAGTCTTATGTTGCAGTGTCTAAATTTGGAGATTTAGAGTATGTAATAGAAACAATGGAACAAATAGATTAATGAATAGCATGTGCTTTGAGTTCACAGGGCTCTCGAATGACACAAGTATCAGGGTCTTGTCTCGTGAAGATCAGAAAATGCATGACCTAGGCTATGATAAATTCTGCTCATGGATTAATTTATCTTGCAGGACTTTTGCATTGCACATCATTCCCTTCACATAACCTATCACTCACATAATAAAATAATTGTGACTCTGGCTGCCTCTTGTAAGTTGTAAAATTCGACAAGGGTCTTTTTTTCTGGCTTACTCAAGGTCAAAGAGAAGTCAATTTCATTGAAAATCTTATAACCTGATAGGCATGCCCATGTATGATGTCATTTAATTAGAGTGTCTCTTTTACTGTAACCAAACCTTGATGACCTCAAGAATAGGATATGTTAACATGTAATCTCCAAGTTTACCCATTGCCAGTGTAGCACATCCATTTTCAGTAAGGTTTAGAAAATGTTTGTGAATATAGACTCAGCAAGCCCAGTCACACAATAGTACTCATCTTTCAAACTTAAAGTCCTTAATTGCAAGTACGCACATTTATTGCCAATAAGGAATGAATGAAATTGGCAGCCAGTAACCAAAATAAATGCTTGTAGAATTAGACAAGCACATCTCTGAATAATGGCAAACTGTAAAATTTGCTAAATTTTCTGCAGAAATCTGATAGAAATTATTTTTTAAAGGGGCCACATTATAATTACTTACATATATGTTTACATTATGCGCTAATGAAAACACAAATTAGTGTTTGTAGGATGTATTAACACAAATAATCCAGGAAATTTCACTGCCACCATATTATTTTCTGCAGCACTCAGGTGAAAATAACTGTCCACATGAAAAGTAATGTTCAAGATAACATAAAAAAATTTGTAAATACTAATATTTATCAATATTAATAAATATTATGCTGTATTTGTTCCCAATGCATCAAATATTTATGATAACTCATCTTTATTTTACTAATTATGTAATAGAAAGAGCACCGAAACACGAGGTTATCTGATTTGTACGAGGGGGCGTAGCCCCCGAGTATTAATCAGATTACCGAGTGTTTTGGTGTTCTTTCTCTTTTGTATCATAGTCAAACATAAAAACACGTTCCCTGTTGTCACAGTATGAAACCCCGGCAAAAATGAACCAATGAACGAACATCTGAATATGATATTTCTGTCGCTTTGCCTTTCTCTGCCGTCACAATATGTAAACCCCAGCAAAAATGAGCCAATCAATGGGCATGCTCTGGAGTGCGGGTAACTAATACCCGCACTCCAGTTAACGCACTATGCATGTATATGTATACGATTTAACCCTGACACTTTTTCAACAGAAAGATCTCCAAACTATGATACAAATACCTATTTCTTCCATGGTAAAGATTACTTTAAAGGTTATACATTACATTTAAAAAAACAACAAAAACAGCATGCATGAAAAAAATGATTTTATCAAATTGACAAAAATTTTGGTCAGTCATTGACTCATAAGAGTCAGACCTTACTCAGAGCCCTGATTCATATTTTCATATGTAAGTAATAAGGAAAATACTTCTTCTAAGAAATCAACAACAGCATTAATGCAGAGTGATGAAATAATATATTATATATTTTGTGCCACTTGTTGGTTTTAAAGAAAATTATTTTAAATTGGGAAGAGGCCCTTTATGATAAATATAAAGAGACATCTTATAATAAATATGAATATTTCATCTGTTAAGGTGAAAAAATCAATACAAGTACTGCTAGCAAAAGTTTTATACATATTTGAGTCATGTAGCATGTAATCATAATGAAGATCCCCAGAATTATCAACAACATGTTATGTAAAATGTCTAATTTTCTTGTTTTGTACAGATGACTATGGATGAGAAGTATGTAGACAATATTTGGGCATTATTAAAAAATGCTATACAAGAAATACAGAAGAAAAATAACAGCGGTCTTAGTTTTGAAGAATTGTATAGAAATGCATACACCATGGTCCTACATAAACATGGCGAGAAACTGTACTCCGGTTTGCAAGAAGTTGTCACAGAACATCTAGTGAAAAAGGTAAAATTATGTAGACCTTTTAGATAGTTTCGTTGGAAATTTTAAATTACTTTAACCTGAACTGGTAATCTATAAATTTACTTATTCAGAACATTTTATTGTATATTTTTTAACATGATTTGATGACATCATAAGGAAATTGCATGAGAAAATGATGAGTTACAGTCAACTTACTCAACATAAATCGGTAAAAATTACCACAATATGTTAAAAAGCATGGGTTTCCTTATGCAAGATTAAATTATATTTCTTTTGTAAACACAAGATGTTGTATTTTTACACCAGTCATGAAAATATTGCACCTTGTGTTCACTGTGTGAAATACATGTACATTACATTTAAATTATAAAATGAACTAGCTATCTAGCTGAAAACTTTTGATTATATTCAGCTGTCTGCTTGTCTTGAAATAATTTATCCAGGTTTTTCTGACATCTATAAAAGGCTTGAAAGTTGCCGTATCACCAGGAACATTCTTCAAAAATTAAGGAAATATGTGTAAAGTTACATGTAGTAATGATTGTTACTAGTGATAGAAATCAGATGAAATTTGTCCCAATCGATCATCGGTTCAGTTGAATGGGACATAATCGATAACTTTTCAGATAAAGTCGCCTTAAAAAGAAATAGGGAGTAACATTTCTTCCCAAGGCACTTGATTACATTTAGCAACATGAACTTCATTTACTTTTAGCACTTTTCAACACAGTTTTAACCTTATTTAGTCATAAATTTACGAAATAGATTTTATTTTTCAATGGATGTCAAAAAATAACATTCACATCACATTATATTACTATTGTTTACATCACTTATTGATCCTGTTCAACTCCAAATTGTCTCTGAGATTATTTTTTGCGATCAGCGAGGTGTTCCTAAAAGAAAATTACCGTCAGAATTAATTCCCTTTGATACTTTAAACATTTTCGACAATGTCACAGAACACATTTTTGTGAATCGATTATTGTCGCTTTACATAAGAGTAACTGATCGGAACATCACTAATTGTTACTTATGTTTTTCAGGTACAAGTAGATGTACTTGCAGCATTAAACAATAATTTTCTACTAACATTGAACAGTGCCTGGAGTGATCATCAAACTTCTATGGTTATGATAAGAGATATACTTATGTATATGGTAAGTAAACGTTTCACTGTATACCTAAATAACATGAAATAAAGTGCTACAATAAAGTGCTATAAATTATAATATATAAATTGTCTTATCATTCTTTGTGAACTTCATGTAATTTCATAAGGTGATAAGATTTGTTTAAGTGTAATTTAATTTGTAAAAAAGTATAAAATCTGAAAAACTCTATATCATTGTTTTGAAAGTTCAGAGTAATGTTTGGTTCTCTTTCATAAAAGATTTGTGAAAATATCATGAAACTCCCACATTCATAAAATTTATCAAATTAAGGGTTTGTTTTGCAGATTAGTGAGGTTACATCTGTTGTTTTATTGGTTATTATGAGCCTTGAAAAGGTCTGAGCAAACTTTTAGGACATTAACAAAAAATAAGTTTATTAAGAAATAATATATCCTAAACAGTGATTTTATCGCCCAATAAAATCACTGTTTGGAGTTTGGATGCGAGGAATTATATCATGAGGGCATAGTCTGAGTGATGTAATGATATGTATCCGAACGACAAACAGTGATTTTATCAAGCAATAAAATTACGGATTTGGATATATAAAATAATATTATTTCAATTCTAACACAACATCAACAAACAAATGCTGCAGTACCTGATATTAAGCTAAATTGCGCCTGATTTGTTCCCTTACTTTTTTTCAGCGTGTTGCATTTTTTATCGGTTACTTCATATGTATTAAGGTTTATACGTCACATTTCTAAATATAGAACGTCAACAGTGATTTTATTGCATAATAACACACACTTTCAGTTCTTCTATGTTCAGTAGGGAAAACTGCGGGTCATTTTAGAATGTACTACAATACATGTAAGATGTCAACATTTAGTATGTTATAAGGAATGCTGATATTCACGTGTAAATTATGTTGTATAGCTTTTACTATAGAGATCTAATAAATTACTCTTTTTTTTAAAGGATAGAGTATATGTACAGCAGAACAATGTGGATAATGTGTATAATCTCGGACTAAAGATATTTAGAGATGAAGTAGTACGTTACCAGACAATTAATGAACATCTAAGACACACACTCCTAGATATGGTGGCAAAAGAAAGAAGAGGAGAAGTTGTTGATAGGTGACTTCCTTAATCCTAGTCTCGAAATAACAAGTTTTTAGCTCGACTATTCGCAGAATAATCGAGCTAATGCAGTCACCCATTTGTCGGCGTCCCTGTGGTTAAGTTTTTGTATGTAAGCTGGTATCTCCATAACTACTGAAGGGAATGGATTGAAACTTCACACACTTGTTCTCTGTGATTATCTAAGATGATTGGCACAAGTCCCATAACTCTGATTTGCTTTTTTACATAATTATGCCCCTTTTTCGACTTAGAAATTCTTGGTTAAGTTTTTGTATGTAAGCTGGTATCTCCATAACTACTGAAGGGAATGGATTGAAACTTCACACACTTGTTCTCTGTGATTATCTAAGATGATTGGCACAAGTCCCATAACTCTGATTTGCTTTTTTACATAATTATGCCCCTTTTTGCAGACTTCCCGAAAGTTGAAAAAAACTGTCAGACACACGGTCTGACAAACCATGAAAATCTGCCGGACCGAAACAAAATCTGTCGGACCAAATAAAATTGATCAAAATCAAAGAAAAACTTGTGTTTGTATTTCTAAGACACTGTTTTTTATTTTTTCGCCGTAAAAATCGGCACAATCCGTACAGCGCATTTTCATCTCCTCCCTGTCATACACCAATGATTCATGGTTATGCTTCCATTTTTCATTAAATTTTGTCTCAGGTCTATTCTTTTCATCCTTTTATTGCTGTTCTGCGCACTCTTCTGGCGTAGATTTTCGTTTTCCCCAGGTTTTGCACCTTTAGCGACGCCATTTTGTATACATGCGGCTTGGATAAAAGCCGAACAGTCGGACCGATCCGGAATAAAAAATTGTCGGACCTGATCAAAATTTATCGGACATGTCCGTCGGACCGACGTATTTCGGGAAGTCTGTTTTTGACTTAGAAATTCTTGGTTAAGTTTTTGTATGTAAGCTGGTATCTCCATAACTACTGAAGGGAATGGATTGAAACTTCACAAACTTGTTCTCTGTGAGTATCTAAGATGATTGGCACAAGTCCCATAACTCTGATTTGCTTTTTTACATAATTATGCCCCTTTTTCAACTTAGAAATTCTTGGTTAAGTTTTTGTATGTAAGCTGGTTTCTCCATAACTACTGAAGGGAATGGATTGAAACTTCACACACTTGTTCTCTGTGATTATCTAAGATGATTGGCACAAGTCCCATAACTCTGATTTGCTTTTTTACATAATAATGCCCCTTTTTCGACTTAGAAATTCTTGGTTAAGTTTTTGTATGTAAGCTGGTATCTCCATAACTACTGAAGGGAATGGATTGAAACTTCACACACTTGTTCTCTGTGATTATCTAAGATGATTGGCATAAGTCCCATAACTCTGATTTGCTTTTTTACATAATTATGCCCCTTTTTCGACTTAGAAATTCTTGGTTAAGTTTTTGCGTGTAAGCTGGTATCTCCATAACTACTGAAGGGAATGGATTGAAACTTCACACACTTGGTCTCTGTGATTATCTAAGATGATTGGCATAAGTCCCATAACTCTGATTTGCTTTTTTGCATAATTATGCCCCTTTTTCGACTTAGAAATTCTTGGTTAAGTTTTTGCGTGTAAGCTGGTATCTCCATAACTATTGAAGGGAATGGATTGAAACTTCACACTTTTGTTGTCTGTTATTATTTAAGATGATTGGCACAAGTCCCATAACTTTGATTTACTTTTTTGCATAATTATGCCCCTTTTTCGATTCATAAATTCTTGGTTAAGTTTTTGTGTGTAAGCTTGTATCTCCATAACTTCTGAAGGGAATGTTTTGAAACTTGAAGGGTTTGTACCTTTTCGGACAATTTTATGTATTCATATAGGTAAGCATTATTATACTCAATAAAACGCCCTTGTGACAAATTTTCGAATAGTCGAGCGTTACTGTCCTCCGACAGTTCTTGTTATATTACATATTTGATTATCTGTAAGTTATTTGTCCCATCCTATGGTTTAGACATCTTGACAAAGGCTTTTTTGTGCATTTTGCTTGATGAATGATTTTTGATAGAAAAATGGCCTTAATTTCACTATTACATGTACAAAGTAAATTGCATTTCTATTGTATGTCAAAATTAAAGTATTTGTTATGTCTCCCAAAAATTCTGGGAGATATATTGTTTTTGTTTGCATTAAGCTTGTCTGCTACCTCAGGTCAAACTCCTGGGGGGATTTCAACAAAACTTTAGAGGATTGATCAGTAAATCGTAGTTGTGCTTGCTGACATGTTCCGCTTCTCTGCACAAAATGCCTGCCAGAGCTAAAAAATCAAATCGTCTGGCTCCCACAGGTCAAACTGCTTTTGGGATTTACATCCTTAGAGTACATACGTGGGAGACTTATGTTTTTGTGACAAAATCCCCTTATAGTTGTGTTTTAAATTGAACATTTCATTTGTGTATATTACAGGGGAGCTGTAAAGAATGCATGTCAGATGTTGATGATTTTAGGAATAGAAACAAGACAAGTATATGTTGAAGATTTTGAACAACCTTTCCTCTCAGAATCCAGGGAATTCTACCAGGTATAACCTTTAATGTGGTGTAAGGATGAGGTGTAATGATAATACAGTTCCTTTTATATATTATATCTTTTTTTTATGAAGTAATATGAAAGTGTCTGACATGTATGATGTGATGTATACTAGAGGTTAGATTATAAGATGTGGTGTTTTATTTTGTTAAATCTGCGAAGAAGCTTTCCCCTTAATGGTGCTTAAAATTCAGAAATTTCATGGTTTAACCATTTTTATCCTGCATTCTACTTAATGTCACTGCTAAAGAATTCAGAAGTTGTTTTCAACAGGGTCAGAGAAAAAGCAATTTTTTCCCTTTAAATGCTTGTACATTAAAATTGAGTTCCAGATTAAAAGCTTAGATCACACAAAGGTTATATACTTCAGGTGAACATAAATTCTTTAAATTAATAGGAGAATATTGGACATATTTTAGGCTGAGAGTCAGAAGTTTTTAGCAGAGAACAGTGCATCAATGTATATAAAGAAAGTTGAAGCTCGTATAAATGAGGAGGCTGAGAGAGCTACACATTATCTTGATAAAACAACAGAGGAGCCAATAGTTAAAGTTCTAGAGGAGGAATTGATTAGCAAGCATATGAAAACCATTGTTGAGGTGAGTCATTATACCCTCAGTCCCCCTGGTTCCCACATCTAAAGTTGTAAGGGGAGTTTACTGGTTTATACAGTCATATAAATAACAAAGTTGTTGCCAATTTCAGCAAAATTCAAGGAATTAACTTTAGTTTAAATTAACCTTAAAAGGTCATAGTCAAATTGTTTATGATATGTGCAAGTTGACATCATGTTAGTTACTGCTGTCAAGGTACATTAAATTTGGTTGATTGGTTTTGCAGAACAATTCTGGACACTATAATATACAGTGTTTTTCAGTGGTCATGTGATATTCATGCTTGAAAAGATAATTATTAGACTCTAATTATTCCCACATATTATAATTGTTATTTTCTAAAATTGAAAAATATAAATGTATATAACTGTATTACAGATGGAGAACTCTGGGGTTGTACATATGCTCAAAAACAACAAAACAGATGGTATGTATGCTCTATATAAAATTTATTTATATCTGAGGCCTAAGATAAAATTATAAATATGTTTGTTTTTAGCGAGACCTTGGGGAGTTTTAAAAGTCCCATGTCTATAAAAAAAATAAAAGATTCATTAATCGTGAAATAAAGTATTTTTCTCAAAATTTTACATAAAAGAATTAGATCATTGACCCACAAATGTTAGTGTCAACACATATAAAATAGCAGAAAACAGTTTTAGATATATTACCATCTATTGAAAATCAGGTAGAATTATGTGTTTATTTCTTTGCTATTAAGTAATAATGCACAAAAATGTGATTTGTGTTGAAAGTTTTTGCTACTTATATAGAGATATATGTGTCACGAAAGGGCATCAAAAGAAATTATAGATGTAAATAGGCATCTGAATCAGCATCTAATTATAGATAGAGCTATTCTTAGGTGAAAGTTATCTCTTATAATTGTCAAAGTAAAAAATCACACAAATTGCATTTTTTGTAACTTTAATTATGGTTCTAATTAAATCATTTCTAAATGCATGATTTTGTGTATTTGTCATACATTATAATAATAAATTATGTATAAACGTGGCAATTTTACATGAAAATTTGCAGATTTAAATTTGTTCTTAATTCAATCTGAATGCATTTTCATGTGCAATTAAAAGTAGTTAAGTCAACAATAAAAGTTAGATTTTATCAGATATAAAAACTATAAACAGTTTGTCTGTAGTATAAGGAAGTATTTTCATTGTCAAAGGATAAATAAGACAAAAAAAATCAGAGAAGTTAAGTGGTCTTTGCACATTGATATTGAAAGTTTAGTTTAAAAAGAAGACAACTTTTTATCTTGAAATGACTGTACATGATGACCTTTAGTCCTTTAATCATGTTGACAACATGTAAAATTAAATGAAGTGCACTCACTGACTGACAATTTGTTATAAACTTGAGTTATAAAAGATATTTTATACTCGGTCACACTATATCTTAATACTAAAACAAACTGTTGTAATAAACTTCCTGCTTAGTATTCAATGAACACTACTTAAACATTACAAAAACTAAGAGACTTTGTTCTATTGACATTTCTTTTTTTTTAATTAGAATATTAATAAGTGGTCATTCTTGCAATTTGTAAAACAATCATAGATGGTTTCAAACTGACTCTGCGTCTTTTGTCAAATTTTTAAGTACTCTTGCACCAAATCACTTTGCCCACTACAGTCATCAAATTGAGAACTAGCCAGGTGGCCCATGGCCAGTAAAAATTAGTCGGGCCAGTGAAAATTTTAAGAACATTTAGTTAAATATATTGTAGAATAAATTCAAAACTGGACTTCTGACTAGTAAATTCAAAATCTTAAATTCATTGACTGCCACTATGCTATTGCTTTGAATCCAGCAAGGGTCTTTGATATTTTTTATATAAGGAACTTATCCGACAAGCTAACAGGATACGGAAATTCTGAATCTTTTATTTTTATAATATAATAGTTTATTGCAGTTTCAGCACCTACAATGATTCCATTTCAATATTAACGTTATATATGTATCAGCTAGGTACTACAACAATATGTTTGTATATTGTAGATTTATGTTGTATGTACAAACTGTTGGTACGAGTACCAAATGGTTTAAAGACAATGTGTACATGTATCAGTGGTTATCTACGAGAGCAGGGCAAAGCTCTGGTATCTGAGGAAGGTGAAGATGGCAAAAATGCTATCACATATGTACAGGTAAATAGATACACATTCCTTAATTCCATAGCCTTTTGTTGGTTTTACTTTATGTGAGATTTAGTTTAAAGTATTGTACCTAATTTTAGCATTATTAAAAATCTTGTCAGTCTATACTGAAAACATTTCTAGTACTAATAAAAGTGTAGCTTCAGTTAATGTGAATTAAGAAGTGAGTCAGTTCCATTGTTTCTGTCATCTAGGTTGAATGGATGTATTACATTATATTATAAACTTTAAAGTTAATTCAGTATATGTTTTGAATGATTTCAGAATCTACTTGATTTAAAGGATAGATTTGACCATTTCCTGCATGAGTCATTCAGCAATGATAATCTATTTAAGAAGATGATATCAAGTGACTTTGAGTATTTTATAAACCTGAATGCCAAGTCCCCGGAATTTCTGTCCCTCTTTATAGATGATAAACTGAAAAAGGGAGTAAAAGGGGTATGTAATCTTTGCTGTATATTTTATTACGCATTTAAAGTGTAATATGACAAGTATAAATTGTCATGACATTTGTTTTTTAATGTGACATTGTTAAACAAAGTTAATTTTGCCTATAAAAGGGAAGCTTTTGTATTTGTTTAAATCAAGATTACAATTATGTATATGTCTAATAGATGACATCTTTATATATGTAGATGACAGAGCAGGAGATAGAGACTGTGTTAGACAAGAGTATGGTATTATTCCGTTTTCTACAAGAGAAAGATGTGTTTGAGCGATACTATAAACAACATCTGGCACGTAGATTACTGCTCAATAAGAGTGTTTCTGATGACTCAGAGAAGAATATGATCTCCAAGTTAAAGGTAAAACATGTTCTCCAAGTTAAAGGTAAAACATGTTCTCCAAGTTAAAGATAAAACATGTTCTCCAAGTTAAAGGTAAAACATGTTCTCCAAGTTAAAGATAAAACATGTTCTCCAAGTTAAAGGTAAAACATGTTCTCCAAGTTAAAGATAAAACATGATCTCCAAGTTAAAGGTAAAACATGTTCTCCAAGTTAAAGGTAAAACATGTTCTCCAAGTTAAAGGTAAAACATGTTCTCCAAGTTAAAGATAAAACATGATCTCCAAGTTAAAGGTAAAACATGTTCTCCAAGTTAAAGGTAAAACATGTTCTCCAAGTTAAAGGTAAAACATGTTCTCCAAGTTAAAGTTAAACATGTTCTCCAAGTTAAAGAAAAAACATGATTTCGAAGTTAAAGATATAGCATGATCTCTAAGATAAAGATAAAACATGATCTCCAAGTTAAAAATAAAATGTGACCTCCAAGTTAAAGGTAAAAACGGCCTCCAAGTTCAAAGTAAAACATGATCTCCAAGTTAAAAATAAAAAAATGTCTCCGAAGTTAAAACATGATCTCCAAGTTAAAAATAAAAAAATGTCTCCGAAGTTAAAACATGATCTCCAAGTTAAAAATAAAAAAATGTCTCCGAAGTTAAAACATGATCTCCAAGTTAAAAATAAAAAAATGTCTCCGAAGTTAAAACATGATCTCCAAGTTAAAAATAAAAAAATGTCTCCGAAGTTAAAACATGATCTCCAAGTTAATGATAAAACATGATCTCCAAGTTAAAACATGAGCTCCAAATTAAAGGTAAAACATGGACTCCAAAGTAAACAGAACATTGGTTTTCCTTCTCCAGTATTAGAGGATAGTAACGTTATAGTTATTAGAGATTTTATGCCCCACTACTTTGCTGTCCATGGGTAGACTGACATAACGGTGGACTGTGAGGGTATTCTATAGATACATTTCTAGTTTTCACTCACTACCCACCCATTCATCATAAATAGCTCCTATTATAATGAACATTGCTTTAATATTGGAATGTAAAATGTATTTATCCTTATATACAGACTGAATGTGGCTGTCAATTTACATCAAAACTGGAAGGAATGTTTAAAGACATGACCGTGTCAAATGGCTATATGGAGGAATTCAGGGGCTTTATAAACCAAGCTAATGTAGGTGCTTAAATAAAATCTCGAAAATGTTTTATTTATATCTCGCAAATTTAAAAACTTTTTAGTTTTTGTGAAATCTGTGTAATAGTGCAATTTTTTCTTTGGATCAAAGTGCAAAATATATCAAAAGTAGTTTTTCTGAAGTTTTTAACCATACATATAAATTATTTACAAAACTTGAATTATTCATCATTCTAACAACCTCTGTAATGAACACTTGTGACTCATACAGGAAGTTACTTGACAGTTCTTAACTTAGATATTATAGAGTGTGCTAACAACAATAATTACATCCTGAAATATAAGATCACATTTATTGTGTTTTACATTAATACATTTCTATATTTTGTCTTTACACAGCAAGTTTGTAAAGATTAAATAAAGTCCTGTGCTAGTTCTCTATTTATATATAAAGTTGAGTTGGTAAACTTTGAATGTATTTTATATTAATATATGTTACAGGTAAATTTACAGGGAGTAGATTTAACTGTGAGAGTACTCACTACAGGATACTGGCCCACCCAATCTGCCACACCTAAGTGTAATATACCACAGGCTCCTAGATCTGCCTTCGAACAGTTCAGAAGGTACGGACAAAGTCATAGTTCATTGAGATAACATTTTCAATTTATGTTTAAGAAATAGGACTTGCCTTTAATTTAAAGGTTGATCATAAATTTCCAGCCAAGTATTTGGAAAAGTCAACTGAAATAGACAACTTTCTTTTAAGAGAAACAATTATAATGAGTGTCAGTCTTTCCGAAAGACCGTCGGACCGTCGGCCCTGACCGGTAAAAAATCAGAAGGTCCGATAAAAATATATGTATTGACGGCCCGACGGTCCGGTAAAAATTAAGGATTTATAAAAACCTTATACATTCAACATTTTGCAAAGGCCGATCATTTACCTACATTCAAAACAAATCAAAATAGTGTCATTACACAATATAAGCTCGTGCAATGCTTGTCAACTGTTATGCATTCTCATAATGCAAACTTTAATGTAACAACGTAAGATAAAAATATCCGACAACTAGTACAATTAAAAGTCAATAAGCAGCCGTGTAAATTACATAAGCGGCCCAGATGTGAAAGGTCACCCGCTATTAGTTTGTTTACACAGATGAAAGTGTCACAGTCAGTGTATTAATTGGAACAATTTACGTCTTTAATCCACAGACTTAGAGAAATGCTAAATTACACGTGTGCTCAACTGGTGTTTAGCCAAGATGTTGACAAAAATTAAACTATACTGTGAAGGTACCAAAATCATTGAACAATTAATCTGTCAACTTCACTAAATTACCGATATATATAATTCTGTTTACATATGCCAGACTTTTGCTGAAATTTACCCTCTCATTTTGCTAGTATATAGTCTGTATGAAATTAAAGTTTAAATAGCAAAATCAATTGAATACTGTACATGTATAACAATATTTATGTTTACTTTTTGATTGTGGTGAAAAAAGATAACTTCACTTCGTTGATAATACAATTTTCTTTTTGTACACAAATTTTTTGACTGCTGACACTTCACACTTATCAAATGACTCAAAATGCTATACCAATCAGGTTTTTTTCGGTCCAGTAAAATCATGTTTGGTCCAGTAAAAATTTTCAGTTTACAGGACCTACTGTCCAGTAAAACTCAGAAGTCTTTCGCATAGACTGTAGTGTTAGAAAGTGAATGTTGCCAAAATTAAATAAATGATCATGATTGGATGTTAACAACATAGTCAGCATCAATATTTGATAATGTGGATCACTTTGAATATGTGTAAAGAAGGGTTAAAAAATATTTTGGGTATGTTTGGGTTTTGGTTTTGTAAATTTTGAATAATGTACAAAGAACTTCTACTATGCTTCAAAACAAGTGTTTTTAGCTCTCCTGTCACAAAGTGAAAAGGTGAGCATTTGTGATAGCTTTTCGTCTGGCGTCCATTTGCACTACCGAATAGAGTTAAAGGGCCATCTTACTGTAAACAGAACAATAGAGGTCATTCTGTAACAATAGAAGAAGGGGCAAGTGCAGAGTTTTTATATTTCAGGGCTGTCATCACCCTCTTGTTTGTTGTTTTAATTTCCATTTAGATTTTAGATTTTTTTTCAATTATGTGCATTTTGTTGATACAGGTTTTACCTAGCCAAGCACAGTGGTAGACAGTTAACCTTACAACCACAGCTTGGGTCAGCTGATCTGAATGCAGTATTTTATGGTGTAAAGAAAGAGGACTCGAGTGAAAGTGTTGGTGCCAGCTCATCTAAAGGTCCAAGAAAACATATAATACAAGTGTCCACATACCAGATGTGTGTATTGATGCTGTTTAACAATAGAGATAAATGGACATACGAGGTCTGTACATGCTAGTTATAGTGTTTTATCTTTTAGTGAATATATTCAAGATATCTTACATTGAATATATTCAAGAGGACTTCACTGATGAAGTAAAATAAAGACCACACAATTGAAATCATTTGCCCCAAACATATAAGTTTTAATTGTATTTTCATGGTTTTGAACTTATTTGTAAGGTGGCTATAAGTCTAGCTTGGAGATTGTTGTTGTTTTTTATAGGTGCTCAGTTTCATAAAAATGTGAAACAAAGACAATAACAGTGTTTTGTGTAGTTGGCTCAGAAAAGAAATGAGTTAGATTTAATGGAAGTTATAATTACAGTTTAAATGCTAATTCTGACTTGTGTTATGTTAATCTATATTAATTCTCTACCTCTTATTAAGATGAATTATGTAAAGAATATTGAGTTGTAGAGAAATGACTTATACTTGGTTCTGAACTCAGTATACATGTAGGGTTATATACTAGATAATGTCAACACAATGAAAATGTGAGGTATTTGTTTTGTATTATAAACAGAATGTCTGTATAATATTATTGTATGTTTTATTTGGACATTAGGAGATAAGAAGTGAGACTGATATACCAGAGAAAGATTTGTTGAGGGCAATACAGTCACTAGCTGTTG